GTAACCCTGACTTATAACCTTACTTACTAAGTCCCATGATCCTCCAAGTAGGGTTTGGGCGTAGATTGAAGTAATGTGGGGGGGGGGGGTTTGGGGTATATTATACTATACTTATAATGAGGACCCCCAAAATAGTATTGGTAATTCCTTAGGCTCCTATATTGCCATAGTACCTTGGGGACTGTGAGGGCGTACCAATCATTCCGACCTCTCGAAGAGGAAACCACCTGCCGAATCCCAGATCCCTACCACAAACCGTGACCCCGAAGGAGCCTATAATGAACACTATACCCTAAAGTTTAGGGTTTAGGCTTTCGGATTGAAAATGCTGAGCTTCCACCGAACCTGGAAAACCGTAACCTCTGCACATTGAGCCCCTACAACTGCAGCTGCTTTTTCGCATTCTTCGCCATCGAAGGCATCCTAGGTGGGACCTGCAGGCAGTCGAGCAGTAAGCCCTTGTCTGAGAAGTGACTCTTTCACTTGGGCTTCTGGCGCGGGCGCGGAGTGAAGCAGCCATACCAACGCAAGCAAACAACAACTTGACAAAATGTTGAACAGGAGCAATCGACGAACGGCCATTTATTTGCCTAGCCATAAGTATACACAGAGGTACAAAGATCTGGGAATAGGAACGGAAACGGTGGCACTGAATGCTTCTCCGTGAAAGGCGCAGCAGTCTCGCTGCAATCGGCTAGTTCTCCCAAAAAACCAACTCCCTTGTGTGATCACAACGGCAAGCGACAGGACCCCAAAGCCCAGTAGGTGCATACACTGCTAAAGCTTTAAGCAAGATATCAGATATCCTGAAACCTAGATGCTTGGCACCGCGAGACATGAATTGTCGGACATCCCCAGACTAAAAAACCCTATAAGCCCGTTCTTCAAACATCAGAAGCCCTCAACGCTAGGCCAAACTCAAAGTTCTCCAGCTGCACGCCAAGAAGCCTTGCCAAAACCGCAAATTTCGGTTTACTGAGCCAGCGCTCAGTCAAAATCTGCTGTCGGGACGACACCCGGGGCACGTGTACGTAGGGCGTGCTTAGGTTAAGGGGTGTACTGCGTGCTAGTGGTTTATGTTTCAGCGATTGGGGCTTGCGTGTTGGAGTTTCGGTTTGAGGCTCTGTGTAGAAACCAAACTCTAAACCTACAACCCCACAGTCGCAGGTCAAGAGAACGAAATGGGGGGCCCCTATTCAATCCTGAAGCTACGAGTCGGAACGGCAGAGGGTTAGTTGCTAGGAGCAAGTCCAGGTGTGGGGACGAATTGGGGCTGAGAACTTGGAGTCCAACTTCTCAGCACCACACCTCTAAAGTTCCTTAGGACTAATGTAGGGGCCTTAATAATATTAATAGGGTTTGGGGTATATAGTGTACTATAATTATAATAAGGAACCCCCAAAATAGTATAGGTAATTATTTAGGCCTCTACATTAGGCTTCTTGAGGTAAAGCAACTTAAGGCATCGACAGGGCAGTGTTGCACCCGTGCACAGGTTGTAAACTGACAGCGAGACATGTGGCAAACTGGCAAACGCTGGGCTTGTGCTCTCGTGCCTGCCCCACGCATGCAAGCGCGCCTGCTTCAGCTCTGTTACCTCTGAAATCATCCCTTGATGTCAAGAAACTTACATACCGACACAGGCCTCCTAGGCCAACACACGCTGACCCTGTTTAGCAACACAAGCATCAGTACATAGACTGCATAAGACCTAAACCACCTAAACTCGAAACCCTACACTAAGCCCCCAAAACCTGTACACACACATATATATATATATATGTATAAAGATATATATATATATATATTATAACATACACATGTATATGTGTATGTATGACTGGATGCAGCGTATGTATGGTTGTATGTACTCATGTTCTATATTGCATAATACCTATCTGACCTATGTATTGTAAGTTAACGGTTATATACTAACGCAGACACACACACACACACATACATATATATATATATATATGTGTGTGTGTGATCTGCTATATACTTTATGTGAACGATTGCAAAACACACACGTACACTGTGCACTATATATTATTGTAGATACTGTTTGTACGTGTATATGTATGTATATATATATATAACACTATAGTTATAAAGATTTCCTATTAGCTGTTATGTATCATGTTATGTCATATTGCGCTATGTCATATTAATGATACTTGCTTATTGTTTTTTCCATCTTGACATGCAATATCATACAATAGAATGTTGCGTTATCGCATATTACATTCTAGTATAGTATGCCAAATTTTACTATAGTATACTCTGTTACATTACATGATGTTCCACTACATTACAACATATTCTACTAGACTCTATTATACTACATTGTACAATACTGAATTGTAATATGGTGTGTTGTGTGGTGCTATGTTGTATTCTACTATCTTCATACTGCATACTATGATATATAGACACATTATATATATAGATATACATATACATATATATATATACATATATATATATATATATAGACATAGACGATCTTGAATATGAAATCGGGACCACTGGAGTTTGAACCGGGAGCCTTTTGCAGGCCTTGTGCTAGGCACAGCGTGGGCAAAGATCACTCTAAACAACTAGTAGAGAAGGACCAAGGAACCGCTGCTCCGGGCTCCTGCTGAATCAGAGTTCGGCGTTTAGGGTTTAGGGTTTAGGGTTTAGGGTTCGGCTGCCAGATGCCCGAAACGAAGCCACTAACTTCCACGCCAGGCTAGGCCCTGAAATCTTCGAGCTCGTGAGGAAGGTTTGGGGGTTCTCGGTAGGGTTTAGGGTTTAGGGTTTAGGGTTTAGGGTTTAGGGTTTTGCACGTGATGGGCTAGCCAGCCATCAATGCATCGCCTGCATGCAGTGATGCTGGGTGCAACTGCGGTGAAGCAATGCACGAAAATACAAAGCAGTTCTGCAGCAGCATTACACGAACACACGAAATCAGTACAAAGTGCCCGAGTCGAGACTCCAAACCATCACCTGACACCCTAAACTGTTAACTGCAAATCCTACAGTACCCATAGGCCCTAAAGTAGTTCCTTTTTGGGGCTCATATATAGAATCCTATATCCCAAAAAGGAACTACTATGGGGCCTATGGGTAGACTCCGAGACCAAGAAATACTCCACATTGTTGCCGAAAGCCGTTTTCCAGCAGGCGGAGACAGGGATCGTCAAGAATCCTTCTCGGTCCAGAATAAGGAGAGATGGGAAGTTCTGAGAACAAGGAGCACTTCGTGCGAGCTTTTTCCTTAGGGTTTAGGGTTTAGGGCAAAATATTAATTACCATAAGAATCCTTCTTCCTACTATTCTTACCTTCTGCCTAGTGTTCAAAACTCGTACTTGGGGCCTATAAGCCGTGGACTCTCACATGTGAAGGCCCTCTTGTTTTGAGACGTTCCCGCATTCGAAGCTCCGGCTGTCGAAGAGGTCAATGCAGAGCAAGCAGCACTCGCTCAGATGCTTTAAGGGTTTAGGGCTTAGGGTTTAGGGTTTAGGGTTTAGGGTCAGAAGGATTGCACTCAGCCCTAAACTCACTGAAACCTGCAGATTCACAACACTCTATGAACTCTGAGCCCGAACGCTAGCATATCCTGAACTCTAGAACCCTGAACGATGCTCATCCGAGCCAGGCTGCTTGCGATCCCTCTTCGTGCTTAACGCGCCAGAGTTGTTCAAAACATCTTCTCTCCATGATTTACCCCGAGACTTCTGGCTGATCTCGGAATATCTAGGCGCAACCCCCTGGTCGCACTAAATCTAGGAAGCAAAAAGTGTGTGACTAGAGGGAACCCGGCCGTGAGCAGCGATCCGCCGACAACCGCGAAGTTGGGGGCTCGCAACCCCTTGGGTCGCAAGCCCAGTGTAATGATATCCCGTTACATCCCTATATGGGTGGCTGTCAAAATTATGGTCCCTTTTTGGGTCCTTATTATAATACGGCACCTATTATTTAGGGTACCCCAAAAGGGACCATAATTTTGACAACTACCCATATAACTCTGCGACTTGGTAACATCCCGTACAGTTCACATGGAACGCCGCCAAGCCTGCTAGCAGGAAAGGCAGCGCAAAATAATTCAGAACAGTTGAACAACTTTAAAAACCCTAAACCCTAAACCCTAAAATCCCTAAAAACCCTAAAAACTAAAAACCCTAAACCCTAAAAGCCCTAAATCTAAAAACTAAAGAACCCAAAAAACTAAAAACCCTAAAACCCTCAAAACCCTAAAAACCCTAAAAAAACCTAAACCCTTCCTAAAAGGTTCATGGCGATCTCGAAGCAAAGAGCAAGCAAGACCACAGGATTCCTCACAAAAGCCAACAAACGGCGAAACCTGAACCGGTTTAGGGTTTAGGGATTAGGGTTTTAGGATTTAGGGTTTTAGGGTTTAAAAAAGACTAAGCGTCGTAGACGTGCGGCACAGAAAACCTGGTACCTGGCACAGCCTTCTAACTCGATTGCTAACATTATAAAGGAGTGCTACTGAGTGCATCTATGGTTTTGAGGAGAAGACCATAGCACCAGAAGTTGAGGTTCCCGCTAGTTAGGCACCGACACTATCTGTAGAAGGCACAAGAGAGCTCAATTACCCTTAAGTAAGCACTGTCATGCATTCCTTACTTCGGAAGTGACATGCGCTCCGGGATAAGCTGGACTAACCTACACCAAGACCCACATCTCCATCACTCAACCCAACATGACTTTCCTAACCCCAATGCCCAGAATAAAGTCCTGAACCCGGAACCAGTCAAACCCCGCTAAACCCTCGTACCCAGAATATCCCGAATCCACATTCCTCAACCCTTACCCCCACGTCTGACTGTAATGACAAACCCAAAGGCTCCATGTACCCTTATAGTAGATACTTAGGCCTTAAAGGGGTCTCTATATTAAGACTCTATATAGGTACTTTAAGGCCTAAGTATATGCTATATGGGTACATGGAGCCTTAGGGAAAGAGTGCCCCTGACTGCCGCCCTGCGTCGGGCGCCAGGCACCCTGGACGATGACCGGCTCGCAGCCACAGTCTTTCCTGTGATTTGGCTGGCAGCATCCGACAGAGTGTGGGAGCTTTTTCTGTAGAGTCCGGGTTCAGAGTTTAGGGTTAGGGACTTTGCTGGTGGATGCTGAAAGGTGTAGGGCTTTAAGTTAAGACTTTGTGGGTTTGGAGCTTAGGGTCTTGGGTGTTATAGAGATCAAGAGGCTTTCTGAAGCTTCAGGCTGCTTTGGATGTGTGATGTATAGCATGAGTAGCCTAGGACACTATACAGCCACAAGTACCCTATACAGCCTCATAAAAAATACCTGTTCTCATTGAATTAAGCCCAAAAGCCTATATAAACCCTAAACCCTGAAGCCGCCAACGTTATAAACCCTATACTATGCTAAAGCCTAAACCCCCTTACCCCCCCAAACTCCTAAACCCTAGAGCCTTACTGCCAAAACCCTAAACCCTAAACCCTAAATCCTAAACCCCAGACCCTTACAGCCTACACCACGGCCCAAACGCGCAGTATACACCGCCGAGGCCGCTGCTCAGACAGTTGAGGCACCGCAGTGCGCTGGTACTCTGCAAGGCGACTGGTGAGCCTCCGCTGTTATGGCTTGAGGGTTTAGGTTGTATCGGGTTTAAGGGTTTGGGGTTTAGGGAGTAGGGATTGGGTTGAGGGTTTAGGGCTTATCGGGTTTAGGGGTTTAAGGGTTTAGGGATTAGGGTCGAGAGGGTTTTAAGGGTTTAGGGATTCAGGTCTAGGCTTAGGCGAAAGGTTGGTGCTGCGGGTGTTTTCAGGCTGAGCTGGGTAGAAATTCTCCGGTTCAGGTCGGGAGCTTTGGGGGGGGTTTAGGGTTTAGGGTTTAGGGTTTAGGGTTTAGGGTTTAGGGTTTAGGTCTAAAAAAGTTTAGGGCTAAAAGGAGCCAAAGCCAGAATGGACACACCTCGTTGAAATTGGTGATGTAAGAGGGCAGGGCAGGGCAGCCGAGTCTCAGCTCCCCTGCCCTGCTTGTAGGAAACGCCAGCAGTACTAATCCCGGAATCACAAGCACTACCCGCAAACGCAATCCGTAGCAGGAAAGGCGATATCGGAAAGACATTCCGGAAACACAGGTTTCGGCTGGAGTTTTTTTGGGGCTTGGGAAGGGTTTAAGGCTTCGGGCTTATAGGGTTTGTAGCAAATGTAGACGGTTTCGGTACCCCAGTTTGTCTTTCAACCCAATCGACAAAACTGGGATGGGGTTTGGGGGCCTGGCTCGGGGCTCCCGGGTGTTAGGCACAGGGCTATGTGACTAGGTTACAAGAGCTGGTCGTGATAAGAAACCCTAAACCCTAAACCCTGTAGTTAATTTCGTCTTGAGGGTTTAGGGGTTCGGGCGGTCGCCCGAAACAAGGCTCTGCGGCTGAGGGTGTAGTGGAGCAGGTTAGGAACTTGAACTTAGGACATAGAGTCATAGAGGTTTAGATTGAGCACATGGGGTTTAGGATAGTGTAGGACTTTGAGGTCCTGCATTTAGATCTCAGGGTTGGTTTGGCTCGGTGCTTGGGGTCTAGGACTAAGAGACTAGACAACTAGGTTCCCACAGCTGCTGAGGACCATATGCAGCACCTCTGTAATAATGCATCCTAAAGCGCGAAACCCACCACACCGCCATGTCCTCAAAACCCCGGACCCCTAAAGCCCTCGTCTCGATTTATATAACCCCACACCTATATCCCAATCCGCCAAAAACCTACAACCCAAGAGCCGAAAGCACAGGTTTAGGGTTTAGGGTTTAGGGTTTAGGGTTTAGGGGTTGTGAAACAGTGACGCCTCTGCACAATGTCCGGATGCTGCTTGGCAAGGTTGTGGTATTCACCTTCCCAAGTCAAAGTAATATAGGGGCCATTGCACACGCTGCACGAGATTATATACAGACTGTACCTTAAGAACCCCAAACCCACTTTTTTTGTAGGTTCTTATTATAAACCTTAATATGGGACTTATAGGGACCCTACAAAAAAGTAGGTTTTGGGTTCTTAAGGTAAGGGGAATGTGATTCCCAACAAAGGGAAATCTGCATTTTTCGAGGCGCAGGACGTGTTTGGAGAATTCGGCTTTCGGGGCTAGGGCTTGGGATTGAACATGTCCTGGAATTGAGGCATACTTGCAGAAAGAAAGCATAATGACAGCTTCTTACTCTACCAAAGTCCAACTACTTAGTAACTCCCTAAACCCTAAACCCCAAAACCGCAAGCCTAAATTGCATTATGTCGGTAAGTGGGACCCATATCTTGAAATAGGAAAAAGCACCGATCTGCTTGAAGGGTCAAGGGACTCGCAGGGTAAAGATGGAGATACCAGTACCAAAAACAGGACCATTTGCAAACAATTAAATCCCTCCACACTGAAACTCTGAACCAAGTTAGGCAAGGTGCAGGGGTCCGCTGTGACGTTGAAGAGGCAGAAATCGTACTCGCACTCCGTATAGTCGACGAAGCCTGACTGTTCTAGTTTCTGTTCTAAGAGGGTTGTACAGGGTTTGTTTGGTTGGTAAGGCCTTAGGACATATCTGGGGGTTCAGTATCTCTGCATGTTTTGGCTAAAGGAGTTTCTCGGAATTTGCTAAGGCTTTCATAGGGTCGCCATGCTTACACGCGCCTGAGTTCAGCATGTGGGTATGTCAAAGGGTGCTCTCAGCATGCGATTCGCCAGGATCCAGCACTTTGGGGTCCATTGCAGGTCGGGTACAACAAGGAGCATCAGGGATCATCTACTTATTCCGACCTCTGCGTATATTAAAGCCAACCCCGAGATCCGACGTCCTGCCACTGAGTTTGTGGTTCGGGACCTGTAAGAGAGAAGCCATTTACCTATAAGAGAGAAGCCAGTTTAAAGAACAAAACACAACTACTCCGGCGGGGTATAACCGTAAACCCTAAACCACTAAACCCCTAAAACCCCAAACCCCTGAACCCTAAACCCTACACCCTAAACCCTAAACCTATAGTCAACTGAACTTAGAGCCTTGTACCCCGAGGTCCCTCAAGTTCTGCGGTCCAACAGCCCTCCACATTGGTCTGTTTACTCTACGGTCGGGGCCTTGATAACTAGAATAGGAATTTTTGTGGTCCATTATACTACAATTACAGAAACAAGGAACCCCCAAAACCCAGAATCCAATTCTTAAGGCCCTTCTGTTACTTGCTCAGTTTCCCGAGGGAACTCAGCGCTAAACAGCGGGACTCTGGAGGGATTCGCCAGGGGCTCCAATGCATATAGTTCCTTTTTGGGTCTGTTATGGTTTTTTGGTAAGGAAAGTCAGCTGGTGGGCTTGGAAGCCCTTCAAACCCCAACACCTAAACCCTAAACCCTAATCCCTAATCCCTGAACCCTAAACCCTAAACCCTAAACCCTAAACCTTCAAAAAAAGAACCGCATAGGAGCCCTTGGGTAAGTACAGAGCAGTCAGAGGGTCGGCGCCAAGCGCCTTGGCCCGCAAACCCTGCAGCAGTGGTTGTGTAGGGTTTAGGGTTTAGGGATTAGGGTTTAGGGATTAGGGTTTAGGGTTCAGGGTTTAGGGATTAGGGTTTAGGGTTTAGGTGTTGGGGTTTGAAGGGCTTCCAAGCCCACCAGCTGAGAACCACACTAGGCTGGTTCTCCAGCTTGCAAGCAATCTGGTAGTCGACCGAAGCCGCCTCAGTCGTGATTTCAGGCTCTCGGGCTATATAGAAGTCTAGATAGTTAGTAACATTCTTCTTCCCTTTCCGTCCCATATCATCATAATCCGAGATACCCCACTAAAACCCTAATTGTTCTACTTATTGAGGCACCTACATTTATTACCAGTAGGGTCTTATCCTGTTTCTATAGGACTACGGTCTGACCCTATTCGTTCTTGAGTAACACTCGAACACCCTAAACCGACTGCCCGTCGTCTAAAAGTTCATCCCCAAGACCCGAAACCTCTGGACCCTATAAACCTTCAGTGTCGAAGCCGCGCGCGCTTCAAGCTGAACAGAAGCATAAAGTACATGCTCCAAACTGCACCCCACACCATTTCCCTTAAGCCCTCCATGCTAAAGCCTAAACCTCCACTCCAGGAGCTGAAACCCCGCGTGTGGAACTGCAGCGACTTTTTTGAAAAAGTTCGGTTCACAGTGCCTGAACGGAGCTCTCGCCTCTCTAGTCGGTTCCGGCACAGCTCCGTGTGCCCGCTCAAAAACAGGCCGGGCCTTTTAAAGAAAGCCACCTTTCTAGGGATTTAATAGGACCTTGTAACATTGTACATGTTTGAAGGGCTTACAAGAGACCTCCCGCCCTCAATAATTACTAAGGATAGCAATGGGCAAACGCGCGTGTAGATGCAAAGACACGGCCATGCAGACCTATGCAAGTCAAATGCAAAGCAGTGCCAAACGCAAGGTACACAGACTGTAACCTCAACTGCATGTAGAGAGCATGCATCCACATTTAAACTGACATACTTAGATACTCACAAGCACATATGTATATATATATATATATGCTACCCCCCCCTCCAGAATCCGCGCAGCCACTGTTTGTAGCACCCAGGTGTTGTGTTTAGGCA